ATATAGTGTCAAGATTAAATTATGTATGGAGAAAAATTAGTCAACTGAGAGCATTATGGGAATTTGTTAAGGCCCTAAGAAGTGTGTACATTTGAGTCTTTTTTGTAAACAGAGTGCACTGAAAATGCTAATGTTCAAAATTAAGTTGAGCGGATATGAAAGGTTAGCTGCAATAGCTGATGTTCTGGCCACTTGGTGGTGGCACAAATAATTGCTTTCGCATTGTCATATGATACATTGTGATAGAGATTACACATGTAAATAAATGTTCTCAGTAGCCTTTTTTGTAATCTACAGTATATTTGCTGTTGTGAAGTCTGTCTTTAACACTGGCAATTATTAATGTTTCCCTTTATCACATTATTCATTCTGTTGCATTAAATTAAGCCGCAAAATTCTCACACAGGCACATTCCCACGTCCACTGACTGCCAGGGTGACAAATAAGCAACTTTGATCTTGATAAAGCACCTCACAGCATGTCTATTCCACAGTAATTTAGGCTGCAACTAAACAACAGTAATAGTCAGGATCAACAAGAGCTGGTGGTTGTTCATTCAAGTCCCAATATCTGGCAAGCTCCAGATGGGTTTCTGGGTAATCCTTGTGCAGGATCAGGGGTAGACCCAGGGTGTCCGTGCAGGTGTTCAGAATCTACACTGGAATAATCTCCGCCTAATTCATACAAAACAAAAAAAAACATCATACACCCTTCATGGATATTAAGGTATCCAAGTTTGTATTTAGTAATTAAATGTGTAATCCAAAACCAGGCACTTTATTGGCCAGGTGTGTTGGACACAAGGAATTTGACTCTGGTACAGTGGCTCTCAGTGTGCATGTACAATGTTTCAAAGGTATTGGAACCTTGTTGCTTTGAGACTATGTAAAAGCATGAAATCATCATGAAGTCACATTGATTCCTCTGCAGGGGGTATAAGAGTAAACATGCGGCCCATTATTTCCTCATAGCTCCTCCGAGCAATGAATCATTTGTGATTCTGCAGGGAAAGAAATGTATGCATGAACACAACCCTGACCCCTGATGTGATTTCCTTTATATACACACACACACACACACACACATGCACACAAAGATTATTGGCTTCTAGCCAGTGGCAAAGGATGAATAAAAGAGGATATTAGATCCATATGTTTGGTGCAAGGTCACCTCAAACACAGGGGTCCCTCCCACTGTGACACTGTCTCTTTCATAAACAAGATATACAGCCTTGGTGTTTGTTCTTTCTCCTCTTAGAGCCCTGAAGGTGAAAGACTGCACTATTGGTAAAGTCAAGCTTCAGATTCCCTCACAGTCCCTTCCCATCCATTCAATTTTACAGGCTTTGCTGTAAATGAAGCCCAAGTGGCAGCTTTATGACCTTTTGGGAATAAAAGCTAAAGAAACTAATCCAGCCCTCCCACAAACATTGTTCCTTTTGAAACCTCAAAAGACCTTCACTCTGCGCCATGTCTGCTACTAACAACCAGCTCTCCTCTGCAAAACTAACACCCGCTGCATCTACAGCAATATCAGCAAGGTTGAGTTCCTTGAAGAGGCCCTGTTGGTGTGAAAAATTAGATATTTTAATAATGTCTGACATCAATACATGGCGAATGAGAAGGACAGGGCAAACACAAAAGACACCGGGAACAGCTTTAAAAGTCAAGACAGTTATTAAAGTCAGAGGAGGGAGATAAATAAGTGAAAAGAAAAGTGTGAGGAGGGGATCTCGGGATTCCAGTATTGATTTGAGCTTTGCTTTCTAATCTCCCCGCCCCCTCAGTAACCTCAGCTGGATTTGACAACCAGCCACAAAAAGCAATTTAACCCCCACCACTGCCCTCACAGGTCACCCTTTAGTGACTACTGACTTCATGTTGCCATGGTGAAAGAAATTATATCCAGGGCCTGGTTGGACATGTTAAGGGGTCTTGTGCTTTTCATCATAGGGGCTATAAAGAAAGTGCAACAGAGCAGCTCTGTTGTGATTTATCTGGATTTTTTTTCTGTAATGTTCCTCTTGCAGTTGGTGCATTTTGAGGAGAAGAAAAACATTAGGGATGTTTACATCCCTGAACTGACTGATAGAAATTTGTGTTTTTGTGTTCCTGTAACATGGATGCCATAGTGAGTCAGAGTGCCACTTTGTTCCACACTGAAATACTACTGGATGGATTCTTCCTTAAAGCAACGCGTAGACAAGTAAACAAGGCAAGAGAACAAAAAAGAAAAAGGAATGTTAGGAAAATCAATCAAATCAGCATTCGGAAAATAGTTATATACACAGTTTAGATGCAAGAAGATAAATGAATCAGTGGTCATGCTAATCAAAACACCTTTAGCAGATACAAATAATAAATTTAAGATAGTTAAAACCCCAAAGAAAGCAAAGACAGAATATATATTCATCCAGCATTCTCGTATACCTGTTAGCATAGTCATCTTTAGCAAGTTAGCATTTAGCTCAAAGTACTAGCCCGAGTACAAAGAACCATTACATATAGTCTTATTAGATATTATATCAGCCTCATAGCCATGCAAGTTAATTCAAATGGCAATTTGTATACCACCAAATAATGTCAGTGAGCTAATATACAAGTTTGTCTATCATTACAGAAATCCTCTTCTTTACTGGTCTTATGTAATACCGCAGGATAGTCATCAAGTTTTTCTTATACCTGCTAAGCATTAGCATGTTAGCATGCTGACATGAGCATGTGCCTAAGTACAGCCTAATGAAATGGCTAACATGCCTGCAGGCTCGTCTTCTGACTTTTTACAGTTGTGTCCTTCCTGAAGAAGAAGAGAAGAATCCTCTTTATTGTCACTGTAACGCGTACAACGAAATTTTGCTTGGAGCCAAGGGCCCCGGGCCACTGCGTGTGTACGCGCCACCTTCACGGGCAACTTGGAGGTTCAGTGTCTTGCCTAAGGACACTTCGACATGTGGACTGCAAGCACTGAGATTCAAACCTCCAACCTTCCAGTTGGGAGGTGACTGCTCTACCCACTGCACCACTGTCACCCCAGTTATTGTATTATGTCTTTAGAGAAGAGCTGGAGAGGTTGAGTGTTTTTGAAGCCCATTGCCTTGGCTTCTGCCTCTGATTAATGTCACAGTATTCCAGAGATGCACCTGTCTATGCAAAATTCCCCCATCTGTGCCCTGACACATAATCCCCAGGGTTTCCCTCTGGTGTGTTGTCAGCCACCATTACACTAGAGAACAGAGGCATGAGAGGGAGCAACTGAGAAACTGTACGGTATGTGACAGAAACATGCTAAAAGATAAGAAAAGTGAGCGTGCACGTATCTCCCTCAGGGTTTCCCCCAAACTGGATGGTTTACGACTCTAGTTCAGCAAGTCAGTCAAGTGTGCAGTATACTCTAGTCACAGTAGCACCTTTCCTTTAGCTGCCATAGAGTGCCTTTTATAGGCTACATTTCTTGTCCCCCAGTCACCGAACGGCTGGGTATTTTTTGTATCTCAGCTGTTGAAAACACCACATCGTGATGCTAATTTATTCAGGGACCAGCTGCTGTGTCAAGATAATTCTGCAAAAGGCATCCTTGAAAGTCTTAATGAGCTCCCCCTTGTGAATAATGGGGACGAAGTCAAGATGTAGGCTGTGTGTGTGTACATGCTTGCATGTGTGCACAGATGCATCTTGTC